GAGGAAGAGAGATAGAAACACCGAAGATGAGAGAGAATCATTGATAGGCTGCCTCTTACACACCCCATATTGGGGATTGAGCCCACAACCCACCATGTCACCTGACCGGGAATTGAACCGTAATCTCCTGGTTCATAGGTCGATGCTCAACCACTGAGCCACGCCGGCCAGGCAACCTGTAAGACATATTAAAGGTGATAGAATAAATGGAATATATGATGGAACAAACAAAAGTGTTTGTAAGTTACACTCTTATACTCTAACTAACTGAGCTACCCAGTCAAGGCTGGAAATTTTTTACACTTATTTTTGAAGGGGATGGAAAGACCAAGTATACATAGAAATCATGATAACTCGAGGTTGCCAGCTATGTCATCCTCAAATTGGTAACCCACTGATGACAACCATTACGGTTCCACTCTGTTCCCTCTGGGGCTCTGCCCCTGCAGGCTAAGTGATAGCTGACAGCTCAAGTATATGTTGGCTCCAGGCATCTGCTAAGTCTCCTTGCTCAAAGCTCAACTGTGGTCCTCACCATCAGTGGAAAAGCTGATGTGGCTGGGAACGAGAGTGAGAGACAAGACATATCAACATTGAGTAACCTAGGCTTCAAGTACTGTGGTCCTTCCACCCTACTTTTCACCCCACTTAAAGTCTTTTAAGTGGCTCCATCTCTTTTACCCTGATTCTCACTATGCTTCCAATTGATTTGATAAATGTGGTTTGAACATCTTAATTTGGTTTGTGAGCCTTTCTGTCCTGTGACTTCTTGGATAGCATGACTGGAGGCTACTGTTGCGTCAAGTTAATATCCCACACCACAGGATGTAAACTGTAAAATTTATTTATTTATTTTCATATATGTTTTTATTGACTTTAGAGAAAGGAAGGGAGATGGAGAGAGAGAGACACAGCAATGTGAGAGAGAAACGTTGGTCAGTTGCCTCTGGTACACAACCAGACTGGGGACTGAACCAGAAACCTGGGCATGTGCCCTGACCAGGAATCAAACCAGCAACCATTTGGTACACAAGATAACACTCAACCAACTGAGCCACAGTGGTCAGGGCATTGTACAACTTTTGATAACACTCAACCAACTGAGCCACAGTGGTCAGGGCATTGTACAACTTTTTATTTATTTATTTATAATATATTTTTATAGATAGATAGATAGATAGATAGATAGATGATAGATAGATAGATGATAGATAGATAGATAGATAGATACATCAATGATGAGAGAGAATCATTGATTGGCTGCCTCCTGCACACCCCCAATTGGGGATTGAGCCCACAACCTGGGCATATGCCCTTGACTGGAATTGAACTGGGACTCTTTAGTCCACAGGCCAACACTCTATTCACTGAGCCAAACTGGTTAAGGCCATTGTACAACTTAGAAGAGCATTTTAAAATATATTTCAAAATATAAGCATTATACAGTATTTATAAAACAAGTGCAAATCTTTCTATAAGTAGTTCTATATTAGCCATTTTGCCTTGCTTTTGACTTTCTAATTTGGGCTGAGAGTCCAAAATTACATGATTTTGTTTGTAGAACGCTAAATGAATATCTAATTTAACCCTGTGATTTTAGGTAAAGAAAGGGAGGCCCAAATAGGTTAGCCTTTTATGACATCTCAGATCATTCATATCCTTCTATTAAAAAATAATTTAAAAAAATAATAATTCCAGGCCTGTCTGGGTGGCTAAGTTGGTTAGAGTATCGTCTTGACATGATGAGATTTTGGTGTTTTTTGTTTTGTTTTTTTGTGTGTGAGATTTTGGGTTTGATACCTGGTCAGGGCACATACAAGAATCAACTAATGAATGCATAAATAAGTGGAACAACAAATCAATCTCTCTCTCTCTCTCTCTCTCTCTCTCTCAAATAAATAGAAGAAATAAATTAGTTAAAACAATATATAAAATTTCCATGCCTGCGTAGCCTATATAATAAAAGCCTAATATGCAAATTGACCAAATGGTAGAATGACTGTTCGCTATGATGCACACTGACCACCAGGGGGCAGATGCTCAACGCAGGAGCTGCCCCCAGCTTGCAGGCCCCAGGCCAGCCAAGGTAGGTGCCAGTGGGGGGCCCCTGATCACCCTGCCGGTTGCCCCACAGATCAACCCTGATCGTTGGCTAGGCCTAGGGACCCTACCCATGCATGAATTTCATGCACCAGGACTCTAGTATATCATAAAAGACTGAGTGAATTGCTCAAGATTACATGGTTATTGGAGGAGCCTAATTAACTCAGATTCCCTGACTCCTGATTTGGTGTTTTTTCTGCTGTATTAGGTGACTGCACACTCTCAATTGTTGCTTTCTTTCCCTTGATCAAGCTCCACTTTAATAAATAATAATAATTAATATCAGCTAAACTTTTATCAAGTGGTTACTCTTTGGCAGACATTGTCCTGAGCCTTGCATATGCTCATCAAATCCCCTTTGTACCTTAGCAAAGAAAGCTTTGTTCTCACTTTACAGTTGAGTGACTTGTCCATGGTCTTACAGCTGCTAAGTGGTGGAACCAGAATTTAAACCAGTTAGTCTGATTTTTTATTTTAAGTCAGGTAAGTTAAATAAAATGCAACCTATACTTACTGTTGAAAACAGGTGGGGATTATAGGTTAAAAGTGTTAGCTAAGCCCAGCAGGTGTGGCTCAGTGGTTGAGTGTCAACCCACTAACCAGGAGGTCACAGTTTGATTCCGAGTCAGGGCACATGCCTGGGTTGCAGGCTCAATCCCCAGTAGGGGGTATGCAGGATGCAGCTGAATGATGGTTCGCTCTCATCATTGATGTTTCTATCTCTCCCTCTCCCTTTATCTCTGAAATGAATAATAATTAAAAAGTATATATATATATATATATAGTGTCAACTAGGATGCAAGTAGGAGGAGATAGGAGAAATGGGAATGGAGAAAACTTGGCTATCTGGAAGAGTAAGACCTCTAGAAATAGTACCAATTCACTTGTTCACTTATTTATTGCACATATATTTATTTATTTTTCATATGCTTTTATTAATTTCAGAAAGAGGAAGGGAGAGGGATAGAGAGATAGAAACATCAATGATGAGAGGGAGTCATTGTTTGGCTGCATCCTGCACACCCCACACTGGGGATCGAGCCTGCAACTCGGGCATGTACCCTGACCGGGAATCAAACTATGATCTGGTTCATGGGTTGGCACTTAACCAATGAGCCATACCAGCCAGGCTATTGCACATATATTATTGAATGTCTTCTACCTGCCAGACACTTTCCTGGGCAATGGAGTCAGTCAGAGGAAAAGATCCAGTGGAGATTTTCAGGGGAAAAAATATGATTTCAGTTCCCAGTGACTTTATGGTCTGGGAGGGAAATAGGCAAAACACAGTGAAATGCACTGTGGTAAGTGCCATAATGGATGCCTACTCAAGCCTCAGTGGGAGAAAGAAGCATCTAAATATTTTTTAAAAAATATATTTAATTGATTTTTTACAGAGAGGAAGGGAGAGGGACTCCTGCACACCCCTCACTGGGGATATGCCCGCAACCAAGGCACATGCCCCTGACCAGAATCGAACCTGGGACCCTTCAGTCCTCAGGCGGACACTCTATCCACTGAGCCAAACCAGTTAGGGCTATCTAAATCTATTTTAGAGAGTCGGGTAAGTCTTTGCCATAGAAATACCTTTGAACTTGGTCTGTGCAAAGGCTCTGAGATGAAATGAGCTCGTAGGAGAACTACAGATATGTCATTATCATTAGAGCATGAACACTGATGATGGTGGAAGGTAGGAAATGAGGCTGGCTAGGAAGATGGGTGCCAAACCAAGAAAGTCCTTAAAAGACAAGCTAAGGAGTCATTAGATTTATCCTGTAGATGATGGGAAATGACTATGTATAAGATACAACATTTTTCCTTTGGGAAAAACAAGTTTTTATAATAGGTGGTATAACATAATGTAAAATAATAAAGTCTCTCTTCTCAAAAAGCTTGAAAATTATTTTGGCAACAAACAAGCTAGCTGGAAAATACACCAATTCATACATTCACTTATTTATTGCACTATTTAAATTTATTGAATGTCAGCTTCCTCAACAGCAGAGTCAGAAGAAAAGATCCAGTATTTGAAAATCTCACAGTACTTTGTCAAAATAAAACAAAACAAAAACAAAAATTGATATATGCTGCCCTACTAAGCGTTTCAATAACCCCATGTCTTTTCACATGTAATTCCTTCAGTCCTGGATGCCTGATTGTCTTACTGAAAAATGTCGACTTAAACTTTGAAACTTTCTCCTCTGAGAACATTTCAGGTGTGCTTACCATTTGGCAGGCATTGTGCAGAACACATTAAACACATCATCTTAGCAGATTCCTATGGCAAATTAGAAGGTCAGTTTTTATTTCCAGTTGAGAAAAAAATATATTTTTAGGAAGGTTAAAGGACATGCCCAATGTCTGATAGCTAATAAGTAATGGAACCAGAATGAACCCAGTTAGTCTGACTTTTGACTTTCAATGAGGAGAACAAAGGTAGATGAACAAACTTCAGCCCCTCTTAGAGCTGACAACTGACAAAGTGTGTAGACCAACTTCCTTGGGAGGATTCCGTGCTCCCTGAATTAACTTCCCACACATCTATCTATATATTTGTCTACTTAGACGATGAATGACAAGACTTTGAATTACTTATTACTTTGTTGCTAGCACCTGTCTCAGCACCTTGCACATAACAGATGCTTAATAAATGCTTGTGAAATGGATAAATTCGTGTCTCCATTTCACTCTGTCTACTGCTGACAAACCTCAGATTGTTGCAGAGTTAGGCCCACACACTGGTAATCTTTGCTTTGTGTACTCATTTTCTGGAACAGTGGAGCTAGGGAAGAGAAAAAAAAATTGTGTCTTTTTACATCCAATTGCCTCTGAGGAGCTGGGAAGAGAGCAATTCACACTTGATTATCTTACATCAGATAAATTAGCAGCACCTGAATTGTTGGGAAGTCAGGAGCTAGAGCTCTCTTCAGCCTCACTAGCCAGCTTTGTCTCAGCTCAGAGGCCATGCCTCCTTCCCTGCCACTCTTGGCTCTCAGCCTCTCCTTAACTCTGGCCTTGGGCCAGACATTCCAATTTCAAGAACATGCCTTTCTCCAATTTCTGGGTCTAGACAAGGTGCCTTCACCTCAGAAATTCCAACCCGTGCCTTATATCTTGAAGAAAATTTTCCACGATCAAGAGACAGCAGCCACCATTGGGATCTCACGAGATCTATGCTACGTAAAGGAGCTGGGAGTCCAGGGGAACATACTTCGACTTCTCCCAGATCAAGGTAAGGATATTGGAGTGTTTCCTAGAGGAAAAATCTGGCTTTTTGGGGGGTGGGGTGGGTGTGGGCAGGGGATGGCGTGAAGAAAGGAAAGAAGATGTAACAGTTACTGAGGGGTTCATAGAAAGTTGTGTGCTGGTATTTTATGGACTTTATCTCGTTTAATCCCAACAAAAATCCTGAAAGGTAGGCTCAGACAGTAGAACCTATAACCTATTCAAGATCATACAGCCAATGTGGAAGGAAAGTGAGGATTTAAAATAAGTTTTGTTTTTCTGAATCAACAGCTTTGTGTTGCAGTTTAGCTGGGAGGGGTGAGGGTGCAATTAGGATTCAGTCTTCCACTCTTTAGCCCACAATTTAGACATCTTGGTGTCTTTGGTATGGCAAGCAGGGGACTAAAATGAGCTCAGTTTGCCCATGCGCCTAGCTTCTCTTCTCATACCTCCCACTACTTTTGTTGGATGAAAAAGGCTATTTTTGGCTTATGAATACAGAGCAATAGCATATGCCATTCTCATACTCTATATAAGGATCTGATTGAGTGCCATTTAATAATTTGCCAAACTAACCAACCATCAAAATGACCCAGATCAGCTGTTAAAAGTTTATTATCCTGCCTAGTTCTTGCCCTTCACTCTTCCACCCAATTCTTATTCAAAGTCAGAAATGAGTGTTGTAATCTGCATTTCTATATGGCCTCCCAAGTGGTTCAAAGGCGGCCGTGAGAGGCCTAATAGTTAGTTGTACAGCAACTAAAGATTGAGATTTGAATATTTATTTGTCCACGAAGCTGTGTACCGGGAACAGTGTATGGCCACGAGAATACGGAGATTAAAGATAAAATTTGCTCTATTAGCTTATAAAAGGAAGGCAGACAAACGACTTCCATAAATACATTTGTATTAAGTATTACATTAGAGGCTTAGGGCCTTGGGGGTGTGGGTTCAGGGAAAATTTCTGAAGGGTTAAGAGGTAAGAGGAGCTTGTTTGAAGGGTTTTTCTTTGAGAGAGTAGAAAACAGCTGAGGTTACTTCCTTCCTCAATGGAAATTAAACTTTGATTTTTGTGATCATAAATCATATCAAATAATGGTGTGTGTGTGTGTTGGGGGGGGGCAACATAATCTCACTATCATCTCCCCCTAACTCTTCCCCAAGAGAAAACCAGCATTAGCAGTTGTATATTCTTCCAGACTTTTCTTTTTTGCATACATAATACTAATAATGGAAACTTGTAATCTAAAAAAAAAAATGGGGTCATACTGTACATTCATTCCTTTGTATTAGGAACATCTCACATAAGTCAAAACAAATTGTCAACTTATTTTCATTTTAATGGTTGCATGATATTCCATTGTATAGATATGCTATAATTTATGTAACTGATGCCCTGTTGATGGGCATGGATATGTAATAAATAATATAGTTTTACATCTTTACATCCACTTTTTTGTGTGCGTACACTTTTTCTATTATTTCCTCAGGATAAATTCTTAGAAGGGGATTGTTGCATCTAAGAGCAGGCACATTTATACTTACAGTATATAGCAAATGTCCTCCAAAATTTATACCCCACCATGAGTATAAGAGAATTCTCACTTTCCCACAATTATTTTTACATTTTAAAATATTTTTATTAATTTATTATTTTAAAAATCTAAATATTGTTGAAAGTATTATGTATGTCCTCCTCCCTCCCTTTTACCCTCCACCCCCTCACTTCCCCACAATTGACAGCAATCCTTTTAAAAATAGGAACTTATTGCCCTGGCCAGTATGTCTCAGTTGGTTGGGTGTTGTCCTATTCATGGAAAGGTTGCCAGTTCGATTCTCAGTCAGGTCACAAGCCCAGGTTGTGGGCTTAATCCCCAGTAGGGGCATGCAGGAGGCAACCAATCGATGTTTCTCTTACACACACACACACACACACACACACACACACACACACACACCTAAAAAGAAATAAAAATAGGAACTTATTGAAGTGTAACATACATTCAGAAAAGTGCTTATATCATAGAGAACAGCTTACTGACTTTTCACAGAAAACCAGCACCCAGATCAAGAAACAGAATATGACCAGCACCCCAGAGGATCCTTCATGCTCCCTCTGATTAATCACTACTCCTCTACAGGGGTAACTTCTATTCTGATATCTAACATTACATTTTAGTTTTGTCTTTTTTTGAAATTCATATAAATGTAAATGTGGAATGTATCCTTTTTTTGTGTCTGGCTTCTTTCACTCAACATTATATTTATGAGATTTATCCATGCTGCATTTATTTGTAGTTCATTCCATTGAGATATAGTATTTCATTCTAATAACATATGACAATGTACTTATCTATGCTACATTGGATGCCCACTAGGTACACTTTTAGCTTTTAATTTTTGTTAACCTGGGAGCAAAACACAATGTCATTGTTTTAATTTTAATTTTTTAATAAGGTGGAATAATGCCTTTTTAATTAATTAACTAATTAATTAATTATTGACTTCAGAGAGAGGAATGGGGAGATAGGGGAGAGAGAGAGAGAGAGAGAGAGAGAGAGAGAGGAGAGAGGGAGGAGAGAGGGAGGAGAGAGAAAGAGATTGGTTGGCTGCCTTCTGCATGCATATAGTAGTTTTGCATTTTAATCTTTTCAAATCTGTCCATTCTGGCTTTTGTCTTGTTTTGTCTTCACATGCCTAAGGAATGTGATTTAGTGATATGAATAAAAAGGGAGGCCAATATACTAGAATTAGACCCAAAAATAAGGGAGATCAACTGTTTAGAGAGGTTGAGAAGGATAAGTACTGTGACTACACCCCTGCATCTGACAGTTAACAACCTTCAAGAAAGGTGTTTCAGTGGAGTAGTAGGGAAATAGCAGGAGGCTATCCTATATAATAAAAGGCTAATATGCAAATTATCTCCTTGACCGGGAGTTCAACCAAGGGGCAGGGCCGGACTGCCAACCACCCACGGCCACTCTCCCCAGTCAGCCTGGCCAGATTGGCCCCAATCGGGGCGGGCCAGCTGAACCCCACCCATGCACGAATGCATGCACCAGGCCTCTAGTAAGTAATAAGTAGAGATAGCAAATGTAGACTGATCTTTTAAAAAGATGGTCAATGAGAAGAAAGGGAGAGATGATACATTGGCCTTGAAGAGAAAAGTGGGTAATTTTAAATGCATTTTATTTATTTATTAATATTTAAAAAAATATTTTTATTGATTTCTGAGAGGAAGGGAGAGGAAGAGAGAGATAGAAGCATCAATGATGAGAAAGAATCATTGACTGGCTGCCTCCTGCACATTGGATTGAGCCGCAACCCAGGCATGTGCCCTTGACCGGAACTGAACCTGAGACCCTTCGGTCTGCAGGCTGATGCTCTATCCACTAAACCAAACTGGCTAGGGCTATTTTTTAATTTTTAAAAAATGTTTGTTAGTTCTTAGCCAAGGATATTTTTAAAAAGATATTTTTATTGATATCAGAGAGGAAGGGAGGGGGAGAGAGGGATAGAAACATCAATGATGAGAGAGAACCATTAATCAGCTGCCTCCTGCATGCCCCCACAGGGATCGAGCCCTCAACCCGGGCATGAGCCCTTGACTAGAATGAAACCTGGGACCCTTCAATTCGCAGGCCAACACTATCCACTGAGCCAAACCAGCTAGGGCCAAGAATATTTTTCCCCATTGATTTTCAGAGAGAGGGAGAGGGAGGGGGAGATAGAGAGAGAGAGAGAGAAAGAGAGAGAAACTTTGATGTGAGAGAGATACATCAATTGGTTGCCTTCTGATCACTTCATAAGGTATACAAGTGTCTAATTGCTATGTTGTGCACCTGAGACTAATATAATATTGTATGTCAACTATAGTTTAAAAATATATTAAAAAATGAGGAGTGAAATAAATAAATCCTCCTTTTGAATACAACTGATTATTTCCTGCCCTTACTTTGTATATGTGATATACATTTAACATTGAACATTTATATCATAGGTGGATATAAAGTAAAACATATTACGGTGACCCTCACATCTCTCTGTTCTTATCTAGGTTTCTTTCTTTACTCCAAGAACCTTCCCCAGGCCTCCCCTTGCCTACAGAAGCTCCTCTACTTCAACCTGTCTGCAGTTAAAGACGAGGAGCGGTTAACGATGGCCCAGCTGGGCCTGGACTTGGGGCCCAACACTTACTATCACCTGGGGCCAGATTTGGAATTGGTTCTGTCCCTGGTCCAGGAGCCTCACGTGTGGGACCGGTCCATTCCTAAGCCGGGTAAAATGTTTGTATTGCAGTCAGTACCATGGCCTCAAGGTGTCCTTCACTTCAACCTGTTGGAGGTGGCTAAGGATTGGAGTAATAACCCTCAGAAGAACTTAGGCTTGTTCCTAGAGATACTGGTCAAAGGACAGAGAGACTCTGGGGTGAATTTTCAGCTTGAGGACACCTGTGCCAGACTGAGATGTTCTCTTCATGCTTCCCTGCTAGTTGTGACCCTCAACCCTAAGCAGTGCCACTCTTCTTCCCGAAAAAGGAGGGCAGCCATCCCTGCCCCTAAAGTTTCTTGCAAGAACCTCTGCCATCGTCACCAGCTATTCATCAACTTCCGGGACCTGGGTTGGCACAAGTGGATCATTGCTCCCAAGGGGTTCATGGCAAATTACTGCCATGGAGATTGTCCTTTCTCACTGACCACTTCCCTCAACGGCTCCAATTACGCGTTCATGCAAGCACTGATGCATGCGGTTGACCCAGCGATTCCCCAGGCTGTCTGTATTCCCACCAAGCTGTCTCCCATTTCCATGCTTTACCAGGACAATGATGACAATGTCATTCTACGTCATTATGAAGACATGGTAGTTGATGAATGTGGGTGTGGGTAGGCTGTCGGAAATAGGAATCCAAGGAGTGTTCTTAGGGTAAAGCTTTTAATAAAACTACCTACCTGGTTTATGAGCTGTTGGATATGAAATATCAATATGTTTATAATTTGTCTTTCTGGAAAATCCATCATGATTGATGATGTCCCAAATTACACACACACACACACACACACACACACACACACACTCACACACAGCCTTCGGGCCAATGCTCTGTCCACTGAGCCAAACTGGCTAGGGCATAGGAATCTTTTATTTATTTTATTTTATTTTATTTAAAAATATGGAATGCTTCACAAATTTGTGTGTCATCCTTGCACATGGGCCATGCTAATCTTCTCTGTATTGTTCCAATTTTAGTATATGTGCTGCCGAAGCAAGCACCATAGGAATTTTGTAATTGATATTGTTTTCAGAGAGATTCAGAGGAAGGGAGAGAAAGAGAGAGAGAGGAGATTTGTTCCACTTATTTATGCATTCATTGGTTGCTTCCTGTATGTGCCCTGACTGGAGATTGAATCAGCAACCTTGGCATATCAGGACAATGCTGTAATCAACTAAGCTACTCAACCAGGGCTATAGGAATTTTTAAAAAATCACCAATATCTACAGTTAATTTAATTGCTGCAAGAGATATAATTATTTAGATTCCTATTTTACTTAAGAAAATGTTTGTCATTGGGCATTGTGTTTGCAATTTTCATGGTGGAATAGTGGTATCATTGTTCATATCTTTGAAAATTTTCAGTTAAAAGTATAACTCGACTCTTCTATAATTAGTATAAAATATATTGATATGCGTGATATGCATATATTATGGGGTAAAATGCAAAATTCACATGGACTTCAAATATAGAACTTTACACATAGTAGGATACTTTGGGTTATATCAGGAAGTAAGAGGTTACTTACCTCCCTTGTTAGGAAAACTAAAGTGGAAAAGTTTGTTACTACCTTAAATCAATCTCACCATTCCCCCTGGTTTATTGCTACTACTTTTAGTCTGATCTTTTGTTTTTATTTTTGGGCTTTAAAAAATGTAGATTATGCCTTGGCTGGGTGGCTCCATTGGTTGGAGTGTCGCTTGTACGCCAAAAGGTTACGACTTCATTTTCCGGTGAAGACACATACCCAACTAGGATGCATAATGGAGGCAACCGGTCAATGTTTCTTTTTTCTGTTTGTGTGTTGCTGTTTTTTTTTTAGGATAGAATTGCTTTTATTGGGGTGGGAGCTGCAGTCCCGCCCATGTCAGGTTAGTGTTCTGTCAGGAGGTACCTGAAAGCCTGGTGACTCCACCTGGCACCTGCCCGGGTTAGTGGAACATACAAAGCTCAGTCAGAGGGTGGATACCAGGGGCTGGGTGGAACAGGAGGGGTGGCCCCCGGCTGGGCTGCCTGAGTCAGTGCAGACAATCCATCCGGCATCTCCGGGCCCAGTGAAGGGCTGCGGCTCCCTGAGAGAGACAGGTAGGCAGGCAGCACCCCCAGACAGGACTTTAGAGGCTCAAGGGGCCACAGGGCCCCCCCAGGAGAAAAAAGCCTGCTGGAGTCCCAGCCATTCCTAGCCAGGGCCAGCCACCCCAGGTTCACCAGGAGGGCCTGTCTCACCCCAGGCCTCGGGGCCTGGTGTGCCAGGGGGACACAGAAGGTACTTATTAGGAGATGAGGCTGAAAGGCAGAAGCCAGAGGCCTGAAGTCTCAGGAGAGTGTCAGGGGCTGGAGGCAGGAGACCAGGACAGAGCTAGGCCAGCTGGCTCTACAGACTGGACCGTCATCTTCCCATGCAGAAGGGACTTTTCCTGGTCAATGTTTCTCACATCAATGTTTCTCTCTCCTTTTCTGTCTCTCTCTCTCCAACATTACTTTTTAAAATGTAGATTATTATATTTAACTGTATTACAAATATATGTGAAGATGCCTGTATAACCCTCCCAGTCCCTTTTCTCATCCTTCTAGTGAAATCATCCTGAATTTGGTATCCATCTTTCCCATTCATTTCTTTATCATTTTACTACATGTGCTTGGGATCCATTAACAGTATAAAGCATTGCTTCACAAATATGTAAACTTTATAGAAACAATATTGGGGTTTATTTTTCTCTCAGTTTATTATTTCAGAGACTAGAGGCCTGGTGCACAAAAATTTGTGCACTGGTGGGGGAGGGAGGTAGGGGGTGTTCCTCAGCCCTACTTGTGCCCTCTCACAGTCTGGGACCCCTCAGGAGACAGCCACCTGCTGGCTTAGGCCCGCTCCCTGGATGGCAGATGGCAGGCCCGATCCCTCGGTGCCTGCCCTGCCTCCCCGGGTCGTGCACACGGCAGGGCCGATCCGGGGGTTGGGACACCGCCCCGGGTTGCAGATAGCAGGCCCGGATGGCAGCAGGGCAGGCTGGATGGCGCTGTCCCGCCCTGCCTGCAGTATGCAAATTAGCCACCATATTTGTTAGCAGTTAATTTGCATATCACGCTGATTAGCCAATGGGAGGCGTAGCGAAGGTACAGTCAATTACTGTGTTTGTCTATTATTAGATAGGATTATTACAGGTTGATACATGTATGGATATAATTGATTTTTTTAAATGCTGAATAATAACCCACTACAAGCGTATTATACAATTGATTTATTCATTATTCTGTTATTGGACACTGAGGACATTCAAACTGCTAGAATCATTCCATAAAATGGACACAAAACTTTTTAAAAAAATATATTTTATTGATTTTTTACAGAGAGGAAGGGAGAGGGAAAGAGAGTTAGAAACATCGATGAGAGAGAAACATGGATCAGCTGCCTCCTGCACACTCCCTACTGGGGATGTGCCCGCCACCAAGGTACATGCCCTTGACCGGAATCCAACCTGGGACCCTTGAGTCCGCAGGCCGACGCTCTATCCACTGAGCCAAACCGGTTAGGGCTGGACACAAAACTCTTAACAATCTATTTGTTTAGCTAGGATTTCAGTGTAGGGCAGCAGTGTATATGGGCAACTTATAAAGAGAATGAAGAGGCTATAGAGATTAGAGTGCAAATCTATCTATATATATATATGTATATATATATGTATATATATATATATATATATGTATATATATGTATATATGTATATATATATGTATATATATATATATATGTATATATATATAATATTTTGATTTCAGAGAGGAAGAGAGAGAGATAAAAACATCAATAATGAGAGAATCATTGATTGGCTGCTTCCTGCATGCTCCCTACTGGGGGTTGAGCCCGAAATCCAGGCATGTGCCCTGATGGGAAATCAAACTGTGACCTCCTGATTCATAGGTCAGTGCTCAATCACTGAGCCATGCCAGCCGAGCAGTTCTGACTTTTCTAAAACAGAATAGAAGATGGGTCAAACATTCAATAGGAATTCTAGTAGACACAAATTTAAATTATATACCATCTTCACTATTGCCTATGTGCCCCCTATGACTGTGTTTTACTGTATTAGTTTCCTATAGCTGCTGTAACAAATTTCCATGAACTTGGTGTAAAACAACATAAATTATCTTACAACTCTGGTGGTCAGGAGTACAAAACAGCGTCTCACTGGGCTAAACTCAACATGTCATCAGGGCAGCATTGCTTCACAAGGCTCTAGGGAACAATCCATTTCCTCGCTTTTTCCAGCTTCTAAATGTTGTCCTTGTTCCTTGAATCATGGTTCCCTTCCAGCCAGTAATTACATCATTCACATCTCTACTTCCATCTTCACATGTCCTTCTCTTTCGCCTCCCTCTTTTAAGGGCCTATGTGATTGGACTGGGACTACCCAGACAATCCCAGATTATCTTCCTACCTCAAGATCCTTACTCTAATTACCTCTTCAAAGTTACTTTTGCCTTTATACTTACAGGTTCCAGGGATTAGGAGGTGAACATCTGTGTGTCTGTGTGTGGAGGGGATGGGGGGGTCATTATTCTACCTATCATGAAATCCTTGGCTTCTAAATGACCTTCATTTATGATGTGGCACTTCTGCTCTTTCTTCAACTCTCACCTGCCACTTGAAACAACTGCTTCATCTTGTGGAAGCTCCAGTTTGACTTTCATCGTTCAGGAAAGTCGTATATTTAGGGCTCGGGTGTTGTCTCCATAGGATTTGAGATTCAAAGTTCAGGGGCTGTAGATTTGAGAACCTAGAGGGAGCTTTAGGTCCCAAGAGTGACCCCGGTTCTGGGAGTGTATGCTAAAACTCAGAGAGCTTCACCCAGGTTTTGGACAACAGGGGACAATGGCAATAGGGAATAAGTATAGTATTCACTTTTTATTTTTTTTAATTATATTTTTTATTGATTTCAGAGAGGAAGGGAGTTGAAGAGAGAGATAGAAACATCAATGATGAGAGAGAATCATTGATTGGCTGCCTCCTGCACGCCCCCCACCGGGGATCGAGCCCACAACCTGGGCATGTGCCCTTGACCAGAATCGAACCTGGGATCCTTCAGTCCGCAGGCTGACACTCTAGCCCAGGGGTCCTAAAACTACGGCCCGCCGGCGACATGCAAATACAAATATTGTATTTGTTCCCGTTTTGTTTTTTTTTACTTCAAAATAAGATATGTGCAGTGTGCATAGGAATTTGTTCATAGTTTTTTTTTTAAACTATAGTCCGGCCCTCCAACGGTCTGAGGGACAGTGAACTGGCCCCCTGTTTAAAAAGTTTGAGGACCCCTGCCCAGCCATTGAGCCAAACCAGCTAGGGCAGTATTCACTTTTTAGGGGAGAATAAAAAAAACATAAGTGGATTTGGCCTTACATTTAGCTCTGGTTTCAAGAAGGAAGAGAGATCACTTAAGACTTGTCACCTAATTACCTGAGTCAGAAGTCAAAGTCCTTCTGACTTTGCATCTGTCAGTGCCCCTCCCCTTTCCAACAAGATTTGGGGCAAAGAGCAAAGTAAGAGGAAGTTATAAATAAATTCTCTCTTCTAGTTGTTCTTTCTCTGTTCTCTCCAAGAAAGAATGATGTGTCAGTCTTGCCTTAACCTTAATTTAAAGGAAAGGGAAAGTTTAAAAAATTCATATAATATTAGGGAAGAACTTTGTAATTCAGATATCCTAAGGGATTTACTCTACAGCATTTATCATTTGCACCAAAAGCTTTCTTGTCAACCCATTGATGCTAGCCTCACTCCAAATTCTCTCTTAATCTGCTACCTGTTTGTACAGTCTAGACACCCAGTAAGTGCCTGAGACTCGGGAATGAGTCATTCTCTGCTCAATCAGGTGACAGCAGTCACTCCTGAAGAAACAATCTTAAGGCATGTTGTAGACAGGAGCAATCAGCACAATATATAGCTCCAGGGGAGGAAATCAGTGGCACACAGCGCCATGGCTTCTGACGCAGGTAAAATGGATTGAGGTCCTGTAAGCTTCATAGTCTTGAAAAGTGTAGAAACTCTGTGTGTGTATGTGTGTGTCTTACTTGTGTTCTTGGGTATTTTCCAACTTTCCTATTTATTACTACATTAATGCTATTTTTAAAAATATATAATTTCACTTTATTTGAAAATTGTCTGCCTCCCTGTAGACATTATTTTTTTTTAAAGGAGATTAATCTGCTGAATGGTGACTGGCTGTGCTTGGTTAAATAAGATTTGTTATAATTATTAATACTAACTATTGACATCCACAAATAATTTTAAACAAATGACACTAAATCAATACTTGTTTCACTACAATAAAAAATTAAATATACAACTGTTAAATAATAATTTAAAATAACATCAGAAATGGTACCACAAGGGCATGCTAATTATTTAAGGTTTAGTTAGTTAACTTTAGAAAAATTCATGGGAGAGGTAGAACACTTCAGGCTGTAGAAGGAAATGATTTTCAGATGAGGTGGAATTTGAGTTTGGATTCTAAAGAGGTAGAATTTAGGTTGGCAAAGGGAAGGCATTTCCAGGTTGGTTGACACAAAGACTTTGAGAGAATTTACAAAGGTTGTGTTTGGCATATACTAAGTGTGCTGGTGAGATTAGAGAAGAGTTGGTGGAAATAATCTACAGTGAAATTAGAAGGCAAATTTGAAGTGCTGCTATAGAGAGGGCTTTCAATGCCAGGCTAAGGAAATCGAGGTCGACCTTTTGGTAAAAGAAAATCTCCGGAGAACTTGCCAATAGCATAGACGTGATTGAAATAAAGCTCTAAACACTTTTACCTGGCCTTTGATGCCTTCTGGACTGGAAGCAGAAAAGAATGGAAACAAGGAGACCAGTTAGGAGACTGTTGCAAGAGTGTGGGCATGATGTGATTGGAAATAATACAGATATCAGTTTTGGGAGAATTTTGCCACCCTTGAGTTCGTCTATGCAGCAGGATTTTGCTGTCAATGCCTCAGTAACCACTGGGCTCCAATCGAAATCTGGTTCTCTTTCACTAGTTCAATAATATTTTTCTACATGCTCTTTGACAATGCTGCCCGCCCCCCTTTTTAAACTCATCACTTATGCAGGTGTCTTTTCTCCTTTCTCTTGAATTGTGGTTTAAAAATATTTGTGTACATTAAGCCAATGGTGTCCCAGCTTCTCTCCACACTGCCAATGACTCTTTCTGTAAGCTATAATCTTAATTGAGATCATTGTAACTTAAAACATAAAGCTTTACGAAATAATACAGACTCCCTGTACATTTTGCTTAGTTTCCACCAATAGTTACATTTTGCAAAACTGTAGAATAATATCACAACCAGGATGTTAACATTGACACAGTCCATCAATTTTATTCAGATTTCCCCAGTTTCACTTGTAGTCATTTGTGTGTGTGTTTAGCTTTATGCAATTTTGTCACCTGTATAGGTTTGTGTATCTGCCACCACAGTCAGAGTTAAACAGTTCCCACAGTACAGATCTGTTTTATTGCCCTTTTATAGCCAAATCCTCCTCCTTCCTGCTTCACCCCTGTTCTTAAGCCTTGATAACTATTTATCTGTCCTTCTAAAATTTTGTCATTTTAAAGTGCAACTAAAGCCCCGCCATTATGGCTCAGTGACTGAGCATTGGCCTGTAAACTGCAAGTTCATGATTCATATTCTGGCGGGTGCACATGCCCGAGTTGCGGGCTTGATCCCCAGTGTGGGGCTTGCTGGAGGCAGCTGATCAATGATTCTCTCTCATCATTGGTGTTTCTCTTTTTTTTAGATTTAAATTCTTTATTGTTTAAAGTATTACATGAGTCTCCTTCCCCCTCCCATTGACCTCCCCCAGCCGCTCCCACCCCCCAGCACATGCCCTAACCCCCCTACTGTCTGTGTCCATTGGTTATGCTCATATTCGTGCATTTGATTGATCTCTTACTCCCACCCCCCTGCTTTGCCTCATAGGTTGGACAGTCTGTTTGATGCTTCTATATCATTGATATTTCTATCTCTCTCCCTCCCCCTTCCTCTCTGAAATCAATAAAAGTATATTTTAAAAGTGCTACTCCATTTGTATATGTTACTTGACATACTCATCTCTTGGTCAACAGGTTCTTCAGCTGGTGATCCCACCTTGAGGTAAGAATAATACTGTCAGCCTGGCCCAGTAGCTGTTAGTTAGAGCATTGCCCCAATATGCCAGGTTATGGGTTTGCTCCCCAGTCAGGGCACATACAAGGATCAGTCAATTAATGCATAAATAGGTGGAATAAAAAATCTCTCTCTCTAAAAATTAATTTAAAAATTTAAAAAGAATAATACTGTCATATTGTGCATTTAATTCAACCAAGAATAAGTGGGTATTAAGAGCTGGAGGACTATAGTTAACCTTATTGTTCCTTTCCTCTTTTACCATGTTCCCATTCTTTTTTTCCCCTTTTCCAACTTTATTCTCTATGATTATTGCTTTCTTTGTGTTTGTTCCTGTCTTTTGGTTTCTGTTGAAATAAATGACCTTCCAGCTTTGTTCTGTTATTGCCTTACTAATGCTCTTTTCTCTTTAGATCACATGTTTTTATAGCCATTAGTGAAAGGTCCAAGGAACGGATTTGTCACTTTCATTTCAATTCCTGTTTTATATTATATGCCCATTTTCCAGACATATCATTATAACAGGGGACTTTTGGTCAAGGAATATATTATCTTATGATGGTGGAAGGACTTGCTTATGTAATAAATGAATGTGATACTTTAGGGGTGAATGAGAAATTATTAGAGTGTAACAAGCTTATTGGAAAGGAGAGTCCTCAGCACAATCCTGAGTTTCCTAAGTCACAGCTTGGACACAAGGAGATGCCATTGACAACAAGTTGAATTTATTTCTTATGAGGTTTAGCTTTATGCAATTTTGTCACCTGTATAGGTTTGTGTATCTGCCACCACAGTCAGATTTAAACAGTTCCCACAGTACAGATCTGTTTTAGGCTTGGCAATAGAATTTTATTATTGACTAGAGGCCTGGTGCATGAAATTTGTGCACAGGAGGGGGGGGGGTGTCCTTCAGCCCGGCCTGTACCCTTTCTAATCCAGGACCCCTTGGGGGATGTCCAACTGCCGATTTAGGTCCGATCCCTATGGGTTACTGGCGGTTACTAAAAATTCCTTGTTAATTCCAATGGGTTAACAAAAATAGACACAAAAATTCTCCAACTACCCATCCCTATGACAAAATTCATAAGCCAATCCCTATGGGGCCTAAACTGGCAGTTGGACATCCCTCTCGCAATCCGGGACCGCTGGCTCCTGACCGCTCACCTGCCTCCCAGCCTGATCTCCCTAACTGCTCTCCCCTGCCGGCCTGATCCCACTAACAGCTCTCCCCTGCCAGCTTGATCCCCCTAACTGTCCTCCCCCGCTGGCCTGTTCCCCCTAACTGCTCTCCCCTGCCGGCCTGATAATTCCTAACTGCCTCTGCCTTGGCTCTGACACCATGGCTTTGTCCAGAAGGACGTCTGGTCTAATTAGCATATTACCCTTTTATTAGTATAGATTTGAGGCTTCTATGCCTGAGAAAATCTAGTTGGAGTTCATCGAGGAATAGTAAATATTGACAATTGGAACATGGCACCTCTAAGAGTGAAACAGAAAGATTAGGATATAAGGAGAAAAAGGACACATTTATACCTGAATTCAAGTCTAATAAGCAATGGTATAGAGGGAGTGGTAACCAAATAACAAGAGCTGGGAAAAAATATCTTTACTGTGTTTGTGACAGAAACTCTGATAATTCAAGCAGACCTCCCCAAATAACTTTTAGATATAGAGGGGAAAAAAAGTATCCCAAGATTCATGTTTTAGATTTTCCTTATAGAAAAAGGGAGTATTAAATGATTTTTAAATTTCCTCTAAAAATTGCATGACAATATTTTAGGAGAAGAATCGAACCCTGGGACTTTGAAGCAATCTTTGACCCCAGAGAACTCCGTAAAGAGGCCTGTCTGCTCTATGAAATCAAGTGGGGCCCGTGTCACAAGATCTGGCGACACTCAGGCAAAAACACCACCAGGCATGTTGAAGTCAATTTTATAGAAAAAATTACTTCAGAAAGACAATTTTGCTCATCCACCAGCTGCTCCATCATCTGGTTCTTATCCTGGAGTCCCTGCTGGGAATGCTCCAAGGCTATTACAGAATTTTTGCGTCAACGACCTGGTGTGACTTTAGTTATTTATGTGGCACGGCTTTATCACCACATGGATGAACAAAACCGACAAGGACTCAGGGACCTCATTAAGAGTGGTGTGACTATCCAGATCATGACAACCCCAGGTAAGAACAATAAACCAAGAACTTAAGTGTTTATGAGAGACTGTGGTGGCAGCCAGGAGATTGATTATCCCAGAGTAGAAGTCTCAGAAGTAAAAGTTCAAAATAATATAGAAAGCACCAGGTCTGAAATCCATAGCAGGGAAAGTATCAAAAGAATACGACTCTGTTTTCTACTTTGCCATTATGGCCTCTCAGCCATCTTTGAATGAACTGTTTTGTTCTTTTCAGGGATTCAGGGAGAGTCTAGTCCATCTGAAGTAGCAAATGGGCCAGAGGGCTTTAGATATGTTATATATACTAAAGGTCCGGTGCACGAATTTGTGCACCTTGAAAGGAACTGTGGGATGCGAGGCTGCAGTAGGCACAGAGGTGGGTCTCGGCCCATCCTCTGCTCCCCCGCCCAGCCCCTCCTGCCACGGCCCCTGGTCCCCTGTCTGCTGGCAGCCCCGCTCCCTCCGCCCCTGCTCCCATGCGCTGATGGTGCCTCCCTATGGCGTGGAACAATTGGGGCTGGTGCCAGCAGCAGGTGCGAGTGGTGGCTGCTGCCCGGATTGCCCTCAGGAAGGTGGAGAAGCCTTCTGGGGTGATCACGGCCGGCAGCCACCCCTTGCACCCACTGATGGTGCCAAGCAATTGAGACCAGTTCCGGGCACCAGCAGCGGCTCTGGCGCCAGCAGCAGGTATGAGCAGGGCCAGCACTGGCAGCAGGTGCAAGCACCGGGCGGGACTGCAGCACATGGGAGCAAAGAATTTTTAGTAACCACCAGAGGCTTGCCCTGATGACAGCGACTGGCACCCCATCTTGGTCTGGTGCCCCCGCTCACCTGCTCCACCATACCGCCGCGGCCGACGCCCGCCATGTTCCACGCACACCCCCCGGTGGTCAGCGCACGTCATAGTAACCTGTTGTTCAGTTGTTCCAGTTGTTCCACTGTTCGGTCTATTTGCATATTAGCCTTTTATTATATAGGATATATAGTGACACCCCCCCCCCAAATGTATACACACTTAACAGCTGCTCAATTGATGTTTCTTTTCTTTTTTTTCCAAAAGCACTGTTTTTATTTATATAGACCCCTAACCGCTTCAGTGGCAGGAGAAGTGGGAGAGGTTCCTTTTTCAATCCAAGGACCTCCATAATGTTCATCAGTTGTTACCAAACACACAGGCAAGTGGCGTAATGGATTTGGTAAACTGACTACAATGTTTAGTCTCTCTCTGCGAGAGCAACAAGATGAGCATCAATCTCTGCTTCTGTAAGAATCCTGAATTTAGGATTTTCAACTGTAACTACTCCAACTTCTATTTCTGAAGTTTTGAAATCAATTGATAGAACAGTAGACAGGCAGGTAATCACAGTTTCCACTGTCTGTTCAAATGTCCAATCAAATTTCTTCTTCACTTTTTTTTTCAAGAAAGCTGGTTGACTCAGTTTGTTTAACGCTTGCTGCAGTGGCTTTAAACCCACAGTAGTAACCTGTAGGATCACACTTGTACACCTGAGGGCCTTGTTCTTCATCTATACCAATTAAAATCATCCAACAACCAAGGGGCCTCATTTCAGCATTCTGTGTGTAGACCTGAGAAATATCAGCAATTCTTTTACACAGCATGTCCACAGGAATCTCAATAGCCATACTTGTATTTCCAATTAGCTGCCTCATAGCGTGCCCTCTGTACCTGGGATCTGCTGTCAGCTGTCATTCCTGTCATCATACAGCCAATGTTTTGAGTTATCTTGAATAAGTGAGTCACTGTGCTGGAATCCAATAATTTGTCAGATACTTTCTTCTGTGTGACAATTACTGCACAGTCTTTCCCTCTGACAGCTACTGATGTAAGGCCATCCTGGTTAATAGCCTTAAAAGCATATTCTACTTGGTAAAGCCGGCCCTTGGGTGAAAAATGGTAATGTGGCAGTCAAAACCAGCGCTGGAACCACGGGACATGTTGATGCAGCCACTACTTCAAAACGGTCTCCTCAATTGATGTTTCTTTCTTTTCAGATTTAACCCATTGGAATTAATAATTATTGAAAGTGTGTATACATGTTTGGGAGACACCCGGTATTTAAGTTCAGCTTTCTTTAAGTAATTTTTTTGGTATTTGTTGAATGATTTGTGTTTCCTTAGAGTATGATTACTGCTGGAGGAATTTTGTCAACTACCCACCTGGGAAAGATACTCACTGCCCAATGTATCCCCCTCTGTGGATGAAGCTATATGCACTGGAACTCCACTGCATAATTTTAGTAAGTTATTTTAAGAGACAAAGATTCTTATGCAAAAAAAAAAAAAATAGCATCCTCCTTCAAACTTCTTTCTGGATAATTTTGACATGTACTCTCCTCATCATTTGTCATTTATATTAGTTATTTAACTTCTTGACCTATTTTAAGAAAATGTAAGACAATCTCTTTGTGGAAAATAAGTAAGAAAGGGACATGGATGAACTGGTCTAAGATATATGTGGACTCCCTATTAATTAGATACTATTGTTACTACAACTGGCTTTACAGAATTGCAGATATTCTCCTTTACCATATTGGTGTGTATCATTCTATTGAAGAAATGTGTTCCATTTGTACTGTCTTGAGAATAGTTCAATGGTCTTTTAACTGGTGCTATAAAATGTTTGTGGTAATAGTAGAATTAAGAAAAATATTAGCTTACCATTTTATTTTATTTATTTTATTTCAGAGTCTTCCTCCCTGTTTAATGATTTCAAGAAGATGTCAGAAACAGCTTACATGGTACAGGCTTAATCTTCAAAATTGCCATTACCAACAGATTCCACCCCATATCCTTTTAGCTACAGCGTGGATATAACTTCCTGTGACTTGGAGATGAAAAGAATGATTCTTTGAAGGCAATGATGATTCACTAATGATTGAATGTCATTAGTTAGAATCTAGAAATTTTTTGTTTCTGTTACTATAAATTTACAAACTATAAATTATCTGAAAAATAAAGGACTATCCCATTTACAATAGCATAAAAATACATAGGAATAAATTTAACTAAGGACATAAAGACTGAAAACTATAAGATATTGATGAAAGAAATTGAAGAAGACACAAATAAATGGAAGGATATCCCATGTTCATGGATTCAAATAACTAATATTATAAAAACATCCATACTACCAAAAACCATCTATAGATTCAATGCAACTCTATCAAGATTCCAATAGAATTTTTTCACATAAAAAAATACAATTCTAAAATTCATATGGAACCATAAAAGACCTGAATAGCCAAAGCAGTCCTGAAAAAGAAGAACAAAGCTGGAGGCATTACAAGTCCTGATTTCAAACTATATTACATATCTATCGTAATCAAAAGAGTATGGTATTGGCACAAAAACATAGACCAGTGGAACAGAATAGAGAGCCCAGAAATAGACACATATATATGTAATTAATTAACATTTGGCAAGGAAATCAGGAACACAATGGGGAAAAGGTAGTTCCTTCAGTAAATGATATTCACATACAAAAGAATGAAATGGGACTTCTATATTACACCCCTCACAGACATGATTTTAAAATGGTTTAAAGACTTAAATGTAAGGCTTGAAACCATAAAACTCCTAGATGAAAACATGAGGAAAATCCCCTTGACCTTAGTCTTGCAATAATTTTATGGATATTATACCAAAAGTGAAAGCAACAAAAGCAAAAATAAACAAGTGGGACTATAGCAAACTAAAAAGCTTCTGCACAGAAAAAAAAAAAACAGTCAACAAAATGAAAAGGCAACCTACGAAATGAGAGAAAATATTTGTAAACCATATATCTGAAACAGGGCAAATATCTAAAATATGCAATGAACTCATACCACTCAGGATCATGGATTGTGTTTTCTACTACTGTTTCGCAAATCACCCCAACACTTTGTGGATTAAAACAACAATATTGATTATGTCACAGTTTATCTGGGTCAGGAATTCAGGAGCAACTTCGTGTGCAAACTATCAGCAAGGGCTGCAGTCCTCTCAAGGCTTGACTGAAGCTCCGGAATGTGCTTCGCAGATGGCACATCACATGGCCGGCGAGTCGGGGGAGGTCTCAGTGTCTTGCCATGTAGTACTCTCCCTGGGGCTGCTGAATATTTTCACGACTTCGCAACTAGTTTCCTACGGAGCAAATGGTCTAAGAGAAAGCAAGGTGCAACTTGCCATGTCTTTAATGACCAGGTTTGGGAATTACACATTATTTATTCTGCCGTATTCTATTGGTCACACCCCATCCAGCCATGATACCATGTGGGAGGGGACTACACAAGGACTTGGATCCCAGGAGATGGCAATCGTTGGAGGCCATCTTGGGTTTTTTTGTTTTTTTGTTTTTTTTAAAATATATTTTATTGATTTTTCACAGAGAGGAAGAGAGAGAGACAGAGAGTTAGAAACATCGATGAGAGAGAAACATCGATCAGCTGCCTCCTGCACATCTCCCACTGGGGATGTGCCCGCAACCCAGGTACATGCCCTTGACCGGAATCGAACCTGGGACCCTCCAGTCCGCAGGCCGACGCTCTATCCACTGAGCCAAACCGGCTTCGGCCCATCTTGGGTTTTATATGTAGGAGCTTCCACTGTGTTTTTCAGGAAAAATAATGATATGAAGCCAATTTCTAAGAAGAAGCTAAAGGGAAACAAAGAACAAAGTAGCTTCTATTTTTATTTGTTTCTGAATCAGAACATCATAAGATTTAATGATGATTTATTATTCAGAATTTATAGGATGATTTATTGTTGTAATTGAGTAGCTATACACACACACACACACACACACACACACACACAGGTTATTATTTTGCTTACACTGCAGTCTAATGCAAGTTGGGTGGGAATGTCATTGAGGGACCCCAATTCTTTTCATCTGATGACTCCATCTTTCCTATGGCCTTGGAGTCCTCTACTGAATTCTCTACATTTCATTTATCCAGCACACAGAGGAGAGAGAGAGAGAGGAGAAGGAGGAGGAAGAGGAGGAAGAGAAGAGGAAGAAGAAGAAGAAGAGAGATGAGAAGGGACGGAAAGAGAGAGAAGGCATTAAGTAGTATGAAAGAATGCTTTTTTAGAATTAAGGATTGACTGGCTATGGCAAACATCAACCCTGCACCCATTCACTAATCAAAAATCAGTTATGTGGCCCTACCTAACTGTAAGGGAGGCTGAGAAATTCAGTCCAGTCCTGTGCCCAAGAAGAAATGAAAATAGGCTTTGATGAACACATAAAGTGCCTGTCACAATGAGGAAACTAGGACATGAGACATTATGCTACTTGACCAGGGTCAGTAGGGAGTGTCATGGCAGAGGTGGAACTAAAAATCAGTGTCTTTTTTTTTTCTGAAGTATTCAGGATATATCAGTAATCAACGTATTACTGACTTTCATGGAGTCAGACTCGCCCAGTCATTTGCCTGGCTTGCCTTCCTGGGTTAGCATAGGGATAAGGAAGTCTCTTTCTGGGGCATAAATACAGGCTGGGGATTTATTAGATGTCTATATGAAGAGTATTTGTGCCTTTTTAAAACTCTTGTAAAAGTTGTTCTTATAAAAAGATTTATATTAGAAAAAACTCTTAAAGATAGGAGACAGTTTCTCACATGAACTTATAATACTTATTTACTTTATTTTACAAGAAAAATAGTGGAAATCATTCATGTTTTTAAAAGTCTCATTTGTGCCGAAACTGGTTTGGCTCAGTGGATAGAGCGTCGGCCTACGGACTGAAAGGTCCCAGGTTCGATTCCGGTCAAGGGCATGTACCTGGGTTGCGGGCACATCCCCAGTGGGGGATGTGCAGGAGGCAGCTGATCGATGTTTCTAACTCTCTATCTCTCTCCCTTCCTCTCTGTAAAAAATCAATAAAATATATTTTAAAAAATAAAAATAAAAAATAAAAGTCTCATTTGTTTCAGTTTTTAGGAAGCTGAGAGCTTTGTCTTATATACTGAACATTTTTCTCCATACTCCACATCCCACTTACTTACCTCCAGTCATTTTATTCTTGTTTAAAGGTTTTTGTTGCCCCGACTGGTCGGCCTGCGGACTCAAGGGTCCGGGGTTCGATTCCAGTCAGGGGCATGTGCCTTGGTTGCGGGCACATCCCCAGTAGAGGGGTGTGCGGGAGGCAGCTGATCGATGTTTCTCTCTCATTGATGTTTCTAACTCTCTATCCCTCTCCCTTCCTGTCTGTAGAAAATCAATAAAATATATTTTTTTAAAAAAAGGTTTTTGTTAATTTGAATAATTGTATGATTTGAGAAGTTAATATGGATAAGTCTTAAAAATTTTTAATGGTAGCAATTAAAAACTATGTGATAAAGTTATGAAATACTATAGGAATTTTAAATAAATAGATAACATTAAATAGTTCTGCTTTCTACTTGATTTGCCTCATTCATCTTTATATCATCAGAGCTTAAGTGAGTGGCTATTATAGGATTTGCTTGATTTATGAAAAATAAATTATTTAGAATTATTAAAAGTACCATGAGGGGATATAAGGAGCACTGTCTATATGTCAGAAAACCTAAATATATTCATCATTCTGTCACCTAAACACTGTAACCTTGGACAAGTATGTTAACTTGTTTAGGCCTTAATTTACTCATCTATCATCAAAATTTTGATGACTATGGCTTAAGGAAAGGGAAAATGTTGTAAATGTTTCCCTCCATGTCCCGCGTGGTTCAGGGTTCAGGATCTGGAAGAGGAGCCGCACACAAATGAAAGAGAAGAGACAAGAGATAATTTGGAAATATTGGGGTGCCGGGGTCCAGGCCCAGCGGTCCAGGGGTTCCCAAAGGTGTGGACGGAGTCGGCGAAGAATGTTTTACACAGAGATAGCGTTCAGAACTCTCTAGCTCTCTTTAGTCTCTGTGGATCTTCCTGTGCCTGGCTGAGGCCACAGAAAAAGATCCCGAGGCAAACTGAGCCTTTATTTTATAGTCAGAGGTAAACAAGGTAGTGGTTACCATAATTACACTGTTCTTGTGAGTTTCACTTGTTTTGACCACTTCCTGCACTTCCCTCAGCCCATTAGCTTCCCAGATAAGATCTGGGGAGCGTCATAAGGTCAAGCCTAATCATGCTTAAGAGGACTGTGCCCTCTAAGCTGGGACTTGTTTGTGACTTTGCCAACAGGTCAGTCCGAGGCTTAATCCTATATCGGCTCCCCACTGGAAAAGATAAAAATGATATGGTTTATGGAATAGGAAATTTGGAGCCAGAAACTTCTATTTTTCTCTATGGTATGAGTTATCTATTGTGGTATGACAAATTACCCCCAAATTTAGTGGCTGAGTCAAGACACATTTATTCTCTCATAGTTTCTGTGTTGGGAATTTGGGAGTGGCTTCGCTGGGTGGTTGCTCTGGATCTCTCATTGGTTTCAGTCCCAAGAGGGTCTGTGCTCATCTGAGGGTTGAACTGGGGCCAGAGGATCTGCTTCCAAGATGGCTCACTCACATGGCTGTTGGCAAGTGGACCCAATTCCTTGCCATGTGGGCCTCTTCATAGGTTGTCATCATAACATAACAGCTAATTGCAATATAGATGTTAGATATTTTCTTAAGTATTCATGAAATCTCTCTAAAAGAATATACGCATGTCTTAAAAAGATAATACGTAACATTCGTTTATTTTTTTTAAAGAAAGCACTAAGATTTTTTAAAAAATATTTTTAAATTGATTTCAGAGGGAAAAAGAGATAGAAACATCAATGATGAGAGAGAATCACTGATTGGCTGCCTCCCGCATGCCCCCATTTGGGGATCGAGCCTGCAACCCAGGCATGTCCCCTGACTGGGAATCGA